ATTTGCGGAAAACAACAAGTGTGTATCAGCAGATTGAAAACAACAGAAAGTGGTCTAGCAAGAGCGTGAATGCAATCTTTGACAATAAAGCGAGGAATATTGTCGACTCCGGAGGTCAGCTTATTCTTTAATTTCCTAGCTGCAAGAATGACATCATTTTCAGTTATCGTGTAAAGATTCAAACAGTCGTTGTAACCTTGCAAATAATAATAATAATAATAATAATATTTATTTACTCTAAAATACAGGGAACATGAAACGAGTAAATAAATATAATATATCCATAGGAGGTCAACGCCTGTGCATGGATCATATGTATGTTGAATTGCAAAATATAATAAAATAGAGAGAAAAAAGAAATTATTGGTAAGAATGGTAGAGCATTTATTGTGTAATATTTGAGATTATTTTATTAGTTTGATTTCTCATCATAACTGTTTGGTAGATCCTGCTGAGAAAACACACTAGAACAAAATGAAGCAAAACCATCAACAATTTCTCGAGGCGAATCATATATGTGGTCATTGAACGACATACCACCAGTAATCCTTGACATACGTTTTTTGGCCCTAATAAATGTCCAGAACTGTTTCGGATCTTGAGTTATATTGTCTTCGGTGTTTTGTAAATAAGCTCAATAGGCGGTATACATCTGGGCTTTAATCGCGGATTACGATCTTTGAATTTGTCATTATAATGGCTATCGCCTGTACGCTTATAATGGGTGATTTAAATCGGGTTCCCACACTACAAATAATTTTTTTTTTGAAACGCCACTGAAATTGACAACGACAACGTGCCACTTCTAACGTCAAAATATAAACAAAACAGTCATGAAGCAATATGCGACCGAACAACGTGTTAAAATTATCCAAGCCTATAATGAAAACGGCCGATCAAGGAAGAATACTTTTCATGCTTTACGTGAATTTTTTGGCGCACAAAATCTGTCTTGTGAGAGGCCAGTTTGGATTTTGGTGCAAAAATTCGAGCATACTGGATCCGTCACTAACACCAAAACCCCTAGGCGTGCTCGTAGAGGTCGGTCGGAACACAATATTGCTATTGTTGTCGAAAGTGTTGCCGAAAATCCAAGAACCGCGACTCGTCATCGATCGCAGCAACTGGACCTTACTTATTCCACTAGATAGCGGATTTTAATATAAGATTTGAAGTTACACCCATACAGAGTCCAAATTGGAATTGAAGCCTGGGTCACACTTCAGGAGAAACGATACAATTACTGCGAGGCAAGTTTCCAGGTCGCGTTGTTTCACGTAACGTCGATATCAATTGGCCGCCGCGATCCTGTGATTTAACTCCCTTAGATTATTTTCTTTGGGGGTATTTCAATAGCAAAGTCTACAAGAATAACCCGAACACAATTGCGGAGCTGAAACAGGAGATCAGACGCGAAATTACCAACATAGGACCTGATTTGTTCCACGGAGTAGTCGAAAATTTCCCGAAACGGATTACGTCATACCACATGAGCCGCGGCAGTCATTTACTTAATACCATCTTTCAAGCATAATTGTAATGAACTGCCGTGGAAGGACAAATACATACATTTTTATAATTTTCAATTTCTTCTTTTTTTTAAATACTTTTAATGTAGAAACTCAATTTGAATCACCTTATAGTTATTCCTGGCTCTACTTTTGTTCTTCAAATTTCTGTTGATATCCCTAGTAAACCATATAGGAAACTCACCAGATTTATAGCAAAATTTAGGTTCATTTTCATCGAAAACATGATAAATGTTATTATATAATATATCAAAACCAAATTTAACCAATTTATGGTTGCAATGGCACTGTACAATTTAGGAAAGTTTACTCGACGAAAATTGTATTGGGGGTAATTATTCAGTTCAAGGACACGTGTAACGTTGCGACCATAAGATTCAAAATACAGAGCAGGATAATACAGGTCTTCATTGACAAAGGAAAGACCTTATCTAGAAACATTTAAATTTGTAGAGCGTTTGGTCGCTTGAGTAAAAGAGATACTGAAAACTGGTAACTTTGCCAAGAAGCTGAACCTCTTACAAAATTCGAATATTCCTCGTTCCACAAGACAGAAGTTATTGACCAGTCATTCCAACATTGTCCACATGTATTAAAAGATGTCCACACATATTTGCGGTGAGGTTTTCGGTCACTTATGTAGAAATGTCTAACTTCTGATGGGGTTCATGTGCTCTTGGTTTAAAAGAGACGGCAATAAAGCAAATGGAAAGTGCAGTTATTTTCTTCAACAACATCTATTATATCTTAGAAACAACTTCAAAACAATGATAGAATAACGATTTGATTGACCTTCATATGCATTAGGTGGTGGTAAACGCCCTCGCAATCAAATACAGAATGTAAATACCTGGATTACACTTGCGGCAAAATATTAATATTCTTTCTTCGGGGCTGCTGTATCAGTGGTAGTTGAATATAAACTACCATTCAGATCCTTTGGGAAAATATGTTTTAACATACCATTCCTTTAGGTCGTACTGACAGCTCCTATCCAAATCTCATCCACCTCGGTTCATTAGCTCTCCAACACAAGGTGACCACTACAAATGGCGCTGTCAACTGCAAACTTTACCAAGAAGGCGGATGTTTCGTTGGTATAGGTCCAATATTCCTTGTTCTACAGGACACAATTTACTGACTAGTCATTCCAACATTGTCAATAGATAACACTGGTGAACAAAATTAAAATAATTTTTTGTATCATGGACAAAACAAGGTGGTTATTATGTAAAATAGCATTCGATTTTTTCTATCACCCACGGTCTTCTTGCAATAAGGCATTTTATTTGCTGCTTTTACTCGTCAAATATAAGGATATGTGTGTAAGAGTACTAATAAACACTCGAATAATCGTTAATCTCAGAAGGTTGTTGTCCATGTTTTACGGCGATATGTTGCTCATGAAATATCTCTTAGCAATGTCCAGCAATAATCAGCAAGCAAGTTGACACTCCATTTGCCTTGATACCGTTTTTCCAGAAATGCCTTGGTGGAACAGTTCAGCATGTTCATCACTTGCCGCACCTAAATTTTCCGGAAAATAAATATCTAGCTGAGAATCCAAAAAGTGAATTTTTAGAGACATGTTACATTCCATTCCTTTATAAGCATTAATTAGCTCACTCACATTATCTTTGTAATTGTCCCCCTTCACATTGCCTAAAAAATTTGCAGTAACTGGTTGAAAAGCATGCATAGGTCGTAATTCAGTTTCATTTAGAGCACTGTCATCCTTCATGATTTTCCGTATTTATGGACCCACAAATATGCCCTCTTTAACTTTTGCCTCACTAAGTTCCGGAAATGTTTATTTTGAATGTAGAAACCCTCTTCCATTTCGATCTATAGCTTTCACAAAATTTTTCCCAACTTAATATGCAAAGGTGGAAGCAACACGTTTTTGGGATCAACTAGTGGTTCATAAGCAATGTTTCTGAGGCCCGGAGTTAATACCTGACATAGTGGCCACTCCTTCTGTTCATAATGACGATCTCGCGCACGACTGTCCCATTCACAAAGAAAACAACGATATTTGGTATATGCCAGCTGCATTTCAAGAAGAAGGGCTATTAGGTACCTTTAAATCTGCACATATGGCCCATCCATATTCATTATAACGGATATGCTCTAACAGAATTTGCATATTTTCATATGATTCCTTCATATGTACTGCGTGCGCTATAGGTACAGATGGATATTTATTACCGTTGTGTACCCATACCGCTTTTAAACTAATCTCAGAGGAATCAATGAACAGGCGGCAATCATTTGGATCATGTTTCTGTCCTAACGCGTCAAACAAACTGTTGAGATCGGAGCCACATGTTCAACTCCGTTTCTTGACGGAAACAGTGTGTGAGGTATTGTTGCCGTTTTCGGTAAAGAGTAATGTTAACATCACCGTGAAGGCGATTCCATCCCCTTCATCTTGACGCTGAAAGTTCTGACTGGGATTCTGAGAGATTTAATTCTCGAAGTAAGTCATTAAGTTCGCGCTGTGTGATCAGATGCTGCGCTGTTGAACATCCTGGCAGGTCAAACGAAGGATCGGAAAGTTTTATGCTTTCTGTACCATCACTCTCAGAACCGGTGGATTCGACTTTTTCATCCAAAGACCAAGATTCTGGTGCAACTGGGACAGAAAGTTCGTCACTATGTTTAACGCGCCGCAATGTGGGGTAACTGTACGCGATTTCTAGTAAATTGCTCCCAGAATAAGTTCTTTAGTTAATTTAAAAAAATTAACGTTTAATCTAATGTAATAAATCTTTATAAACAAAAACAAAACATAAATTTTTTATTAAAACAATAATTGTTGTTTTAATCGACAAGGGAAATGCCGACACTTACCCTCATCAGTGGGAAGGTGTCCGCATGCCTTCGGTTAAGTGTACGCACAACAAAAACTTAACCCATTGCACATAGATCACAAGTAAATATGCCACTCTCGTGACTGGTACAGGCTTCGTGCCACCAATATTTACAAATTGTTCGCTCAATCCACACTTCAGCCGTATCTCCGTACTTTTCTCGACATAACGGACAATAGTATTCTTGTTTCGCAGATTTGTCTGTAGCCTTATCTTTTTTAATTATTATTATATTTCATCTTTGGATTACTTTTCGTTTTCATGTCTATCTTTGGTATTCTAATCTTCTTAGATTTTTGGTCAATTTGTTTTTGTTTCTCCTCCAACTTAGTATTAAAACGACTATTTCCGACTTGCTAGGATTTTTGCGTCGAGTCTGAATATGTATCGCCTTTGGTAATAGGCTTATATCGATTAAGGAAAAATGAGACTGGTTATGGAAATGTTATGAAAAATAGAGGACGAAATAATTTGTTGCTCGTGAAATTCTATTTTGTCCATTTGATCTGAAAATGCGTGTAATTGTTTATTGGCTATCTTAATTTCAGCTGCAGCTTCCATGTTCCGTTGGCTAGGTGTTGTTCAGCCAGTGATGCACTTGGTTGACGATGCGTTTCAGCAATAGTCAAATTCTCTTGAGTTTCTGCCAAATCGGCAGACGTAGAAGCACTTGATTCTTGTGCAATAGATGTAATAGCTACAGCTCGATGTCTTTGTCTGTCTTGAATTTCTACTGTAGCTACAGAATATGGATTTTGAGTGGTCTAGAACGTAAAAATAATACTTGAGACATTGAATTCACTTCAGTGGGGTAAGTATACGCTTTTTAATACTGCGGACACTTACCCGTATACTTTCCCCATCCCGTCAAAGCAAACAAAAATTATGAAAAAAATAAGTACGACTTACCTTAGAGAAAACACGCAAATACTAAGAGAATATTGATTAAATAAATATATCGCAACATCTGCAGGAGAGCGGGTAGGTATATAATTGTTTCATTATCTTTCCTATGTTATATTTATTAAAAATAGAATTGTTGCTGATTTTTTCTCTTCGTAGTAGTGGATTTATTTGAAAAATGAGTGCACCTAAGAGAAAAAGTAACTTTAGCAGGGAAGAAGAATTAATTAGACTGGTGAATAAATATAAAGATGTTATTGAATGTCGTAAAACGGATGCAGTAACAAACTGTTCAAAAGCAAAGACATGGAATATGATTGCAAAAGAGTTTAGCAGTGGAGCAGTGACCTACAGGGATAGTAAAACGTTGAAGAATAAATATGACAATATCAAAAAAAGGTCAAAGAAGAAGTTCTCACAGGAGAAGTGTTCCCTGTTTGCTACAGGAGGAGGTGCCTCAAAAACAGTTCATTTCACCGATATTGATGAACAAGTCAAAGACATTTTAGGTGTCCGAATAGAAGGACACCCTTCAGCGTATGATGATGACATGAGTAAGTAAGCTGGATTGTGTTGAGTGAATATATTTTTAAGTTAATTTTATTTTTAGTTGTCTGTGACATACCTGAGAATGCTACATGCAGTGACTTAATTATTGAGGAATGTAAGTTTCGAATCTATGTTAAATAATGTACTTTTATTAATTTAAGGTGTTTCAGATGAAATCACTTCAGAGGAGACACAGGAAGTTCAAAACAGTGGTACTAATAAAATAAATAGTTTTGATGTTATCATTTATTTATGATTTTCCAGATAAAGAAAATCAAGAAGTGTCTCATTTAGAAGGTCCAGAGGCCAGTAGTCATCAGGCGGAGGAGGGGAGCAAGTTAAATACATCCCCTTTGTGCAAACTAAAATCAAGTGCTCTGAGAACTCCAGAAGGTAATCTACATTAAAATCTACAGAACTATTATATCGTCATTACTGCATGCTTTTTATAATGGCATTTATCTTGAATTATGAAAATAAAAAAACCTATTTCAGAACTTGAATGGAAAGTTTTTCATATTATGCTGTAGATTTTTTCTGTTCTTGTTGATTGAATTAGTAATAAAATACTACCTATTGTGGCGCATTGTCATTTATTCATGATTTTACAGATAAAGAAAATCAAATAGCGCATCGTTTAGAAGGTCCAGAATCCAGTAGACATCAAACGAGGGACTGGAGCAAATTAAGTACATCCCTTTTGCGCACACCAAAATCAAGTGCTCTGAGAACTGCAGAAGGTAATCTACATTATAATCTCCAGGAATATTTCATATTCATTACAAATTTCAAAAAGGAATTGTTACTTCTAGTACTGAAATGGAAAGTTTTTGCATGTTGTGTTGTAAATTTTTTTGTTCTTGTTGATGAAATTAGTAATGAAATACTATATATTGCTTGTAAATGTGGATCACAATAAGATGCTCCTTAAACATTTTAATTGTAGTGAAGACCGACTGCTCAAAAAAAGGGGTGCTATTTGCACAAAAATGGAAAAATGGGTCGAATCCAAAAAATCATTGGAAGATTCTAAAGAAAAATGCCTTTCGGATGAATTTGAAATGAAAAAACAGCTATTGATGAAAGAAAACAAAAAGAAACTGGAAATAATGCAACTAGAGTATGAAGAGAGAAAAAAGAGGGAAGATGAGGTACATAACATTAAAATGGAAATGTTAAATATGGAAAAACAGTATCTGTTAAATAAATATAAAATTTGATTTTCTTAATCTTGCCCTCTTATTTACCTATTTTGAATAAATATACGTACATGAAATCTCCAATATTCTTTATTGCATCATTTAAATCTTTCACTTTCACTTAGTATGAAACGAAGATAACATTAGAAAAATACTAAAAACTGAATTTTTGAATCATTCACAATAAATCCTGGAAATAATTAATTAACAATAATCGTGTCCTATTATTAGATGCATCTTGACCTCCAACTGGGACTGGTACAATATCAAAGTTGTTAATGAATTCACCTGCTGCTTCAATTTCATTATTTATTGCAGGTTGTGGGTCTTTCATGATAATTGCTAGGTTATGCAAGGCTGCTGTTGCAACAACTACTGGCTCAATTTTTTCTTTCGCTACACGAATTCCTAATGCTAAGATGGGGAAACGTCATTTCCATACCCCGAAGCATCTCTCGACAGGATTCCTAGTGCGAATTTGAGATTCATTAAATAACTGTTGACTCTGAGTGGTGTGATTAAATATGGCTTAATACCATAACCACTATCTGCAACCAACAAACTGTCGCCAAAATGTCCGGTTTCAAATAAAAATGAACGAACTCTACTATTTGCAAATATATCTGCATCATGTGATGCACCTGGCCAACGGCAAACTATATTTTGTATTTTCAAAGTGGCATCGCAAATCACCTGTACATTATAGGAAAAGAAACCTTTCCTGTTCCTATAATTCTCTGGGTCTGCACCACCTGGAGATTTTATTTTAATGTGGGTGCAGTCTAAAGCTCCTATGCACCTAGGAAATCTAGCAATATTGAAAAATTCTTGACGTATCACAGTTCTCTCTTGGCCATTTTCAGGCATTTTTATTAATACTTAAAAATGGACTGCTAATGATTTTATAACTTTCGACACAACCCTGCTTGCAGTTCCTTTGTCCATACCTTGTGCATCCCCTATTACTTGCAAAAAGGACCCAGTTGCAAGGTAACGTAGCGTAACAAAGACCATATCATCTGGCGTGAGGGCATGATTTCTATAAAAAAATAGCTTTTATATACATAACCCAGGGCCATTCATGTAGAGTGAGCCTTTGAGCAGCTCAGATGGTTTTTGCAAATTCACCGACAATGAAAGAACGATTTTTCAATTTAGATGCAACACAGCATTCCCATAAGTTGGTGTTTGTATAAATTTATAAAAAAATTATGTTTAAAGATATATATATATATATATATATATATATATATATATATAAAATATATAAAATTTTAAATAGGTAATGATATTTATTCTTGAATTTGGAGCACAATATGCACCCGTCAGGAATGGCTCTGATACCTAGTAATTATAAATGAACTTACTGTATTGTTATATTTCTGATATCATCTGCAACTTTATCTATTATGGATCTAACAGTACTTTTTGATAACCGAAAACGTTGCAAGAATTGAGTGTCGTTCCAAATCCGAAAATTATCAGGCCTCTGTTTGTAAGTTTTGGGTAACCTGGGTATATGTAGGATGGTAATTAATTCTAAGAAGTCCTCGTCATCAGTTATCTCTTCGGGAATGTCCATTTTTAAACTTAACACACAACTCCTTCGCTAAACTTTGCTACGATATTTATGTTACTCACATTGAACTGAGTTTAACCGAGGGACATCGACCGGTCAGATTCTATGCCTACTTGAACTGGGTTCAAGCCTTGAGCTTTATTTGTACAACTGATCTTCAACCTTGAACTTAGTTCAATCTGAACAGCGGTTTAAACTGGAGTTGAACAACCGGCCCTAACAGTATGTTTCGATGTTGGCCCAATACCTTTAATATTTGTGTGCAAAAATAGTAATCAGTAGCATAGTCTCTCGGTTATCTCCAAACCAATGGGCATTTTACGATTACCGCTTCTTAACCAACCTGTTAACAAGGTTACACAAGTCTTACAACATATTCGTATTTAACATTATATATGTGCGTCCTCGCATAAATGCCGAGAAATGCAGCAATATGAGATGTTACATATTTTAATTCATAAAAGTAGATGTTACCGAATATCTGTGCATGATAAAAAAATTCTGCTTTTAGATTTGATTTAAGGGTCTCAGAATACATAAGATACACCCAAAAATTGTCATGTCACAAATCCTGGGTTTGTCAGTGTAATTAAAGATGAGAGCTCACACGTATTTGCGGTAGGCTGTTCGGTGACTCATGTAAAAACGGCATTTTCAACTGTAAACTTCACCAAGAATGCGAATGTTTCAATTGTATAGGTTCAATATTACTCGTTTCATAAGACACAATTTATTGACCAGTCATTCCAACTGTGTCCACATGCAATTAAAGATAAGAGCTTACGTGTCCTTGCGGTGAGGCAACCCCCAGTCGGCCATAGCTAGCTAGCTAGATAGAGCGCAGATTGGAACAAAAAGCCGGACACACTCGCATCGAAGCAAAAACGGGTAGCGTTCGGTGTTGGACGGTCTGATTTCATTAGTGGATGTATACCTTTTGTATTCAACTTCCCTAATTCGGGGAAAAAAGGGAAATTAGTGATGGGCTATCTCACCGACCTGACGTGGTGACACTGCTTTGATTATTGAAAACAGAACTTCGTCGATGATATCGTTCTAATCTAAATATCCCTCTGACAGACAGTTACAGAAATACGAATTAGGGGAACAGATACCAGATTTTGATGCAGTCCCATAGTATTTGACTACAGTAGCATTTCGTCAGCATTGTCAATTCGCCTATAGTCGGGCACCTAAACCGCTAAAAATGCAGTTTCATAGCGTTACGTTACTCTGTTGGATACTGATCCTTGACATTAGTAGTGACTGAGCAGGATGTCCTTAAATCTTAAGTGTTCGCCAATTAGTACAATTGCATCTTCAGAAAATAATAGAGAGGTGATGCAATCAAAAATACCGCATACGTAACCGTTTACATCAGCATCTTTTGACAATTCGGTACATGCATCTGATAACATTTTAACATGAACGCGAACCTAAAAAGGCAGCCATTTCAATTTTCTAACAACTTCAGCCGAGCTTTTCAACGTTTACGATTGCATATGGCGTGTAATACGTGTTGTGTCATTGTAAAGGTTGGTTAATAATTATCCTACTTCACAAATGCAGAGTGATTCACATGTCGTGACCAAAAAGGAAACATCATTCAAAATAAGAAACATTTTTTTTAGTATCTTCAAAAGCGTCAACTGTAATAAACTAAAATCTGGTATGTCAATTTACCTGAGTATTGTCCACATTCAACAAACTTTACTCAAAGTCAACGTGCACCAGTGGCGGAAATACAGGGGGTTAGCAACGCTGTTTTTCCAAATAAAAATAGTACGCCACTGTTTTTTTTCAGAACGCGCACTTTTTCGAATTTCACCTTCACTTTGGTACAAATAACTACTGTTGTGTTTTTTCCTAGAGTGCACTGTTTCCGTGAAAATAAAAATAAAACAAATTAGATCACTTATAAAGAGTCGGGATACAATTAGTTTAAAAATTAAGTAGAAGGCCTTGATACTAACTTGACGTTTCTTGGCAGATAATTTGTCAAAGTCTTTTTTTTTGTTAAAGTCAACTCATGAATTTCTTTTTTCCATATTTGAGTGTTGTGAAATGAAATTTAGCAATGATGAGTACGCCAATATTATTTTTGTGTCCGGGTTCTGTAATGGAAATGCTTCAGCGGCTTCTTGGGAGTATCAACGTAAAATTCCTAACAGACGCGAACCTACCCCAAAGGATTTTGCGCATTCATTTCTAAGACTACGGCAATATGGAATTGCCAAATTTCCCAGTCTCTGGATACGAGTAGCGCTAGCCGGCTCCATGGAATGAACTCAATCGTGACCGTGTGAACAGTCCACGGCCGTTGCTGCCCCACTTCAGCTCACGGAAACAAAATTGAAAGCGTACAATGCTGTCGTCCTCTTACCCCGTGAGAAAGTAGCACGTTATGGATGCATCCATCGATTTGTCACACAATAATAGAAAATGCTGAAAATATGAATTCTAACAGAAGCCTTTTCTTATATTTATCCCTACTTCCAATAAGTTCTTACAATGCAGGTCTTCCTCCAGACAAACTTAACATTGTGGAGGACCTCTTCACCATTCCGGTTCACTCAAGACCGAAAGAACCTCATTATGTAAACAGCGGCCTGCTTAGTATAGCGTAAAAAAGTCCCAGACAAGCATTTGATACGAAACTCATCTACTGGATTGTATAATAAAAATTTTAATAAAGATAAAAGCTTTCGAAATACAGAAGATGTTGCATACTCCCTCCGGTCCTTCTTTTTGGTATGTTATGACTCAAATTTATATTTCCGCAATGCTTTGAAGCTTCTTACAGGTATGGATTATAAGCACTTAACTTCCGTCAGAGGAAAGAAAAATTCTGGGAATGTCAATCCGCTTAAAAGCAAGTGCTACTTCCCATGTAAAATCTGATACAATGCCTAAGAACTGAATGCATAGTCGTTCCTTAATCTCTTCTCATTGTGATGATATTTTACTTGCCTTTTGCTTAGGACTGATAGGAGACTATTATAATAATTTCCTTTAGGAGATCGAGTTAAGGCCTCTTTATTACCTTAGATATGTAGTTCCTCAAATTCTAGGACTCCTTATTCACTACCTTGCTTACCTTACTCGTAGAAGGAAAGGGCATGAACTGTAACTGGTATTGTGCTTGCTGAGGAAAATATTGAAATAACGGAGCTTTTCACCTCGCATCCTTTCTCAAAAAGTAGGTATATAGGTAAGTGTCAATAAAGTCGGTAAATGTAGTATGTTCAAACCAAAAGGATTAACGTAAGATCTTAATTTTATCCTGTGGTTTTCATGCTCTTAGAACTCCATATATCTCTGGCCACATGAAACCGCGTATGTCGACATTTCGATTATAAAAATCGAAATCGAAATGTCGACATACACATATATTGACAATAAAATCAAAAAAATCGGCGTCTATGCACTGAATCGACTTGACGGTTAGCTAAAGCTTCGACAGTCTTTCTTAAATTGGAAAAACGCACTTGTTGTGATTCTGGAAGAAATATGCCGTTGTTGCCATGATGAGACCTTCCAATCTTTGGAACATATAGTTTGCCTCCAACTTTCATCTTCCCAATAGAGTTGATCACTGATGGCAATTGATCAGGAAGTATTACTACTCCTTTGCAAATATTTAGGTACTCCTGGTTTAGTTGTGGCCCTTGGTAGTCTTCTTCATTCTCCATGATGCATGTCACACCACGCTGCACAATTTGAACTTTGCACTCGAACACTGCTAAAGCAACGCGATACATTTGGTAAATTGATCCACGAACTGGTTCATTGTTGAATTCGTGTAATGCTGCAAAGATGTGAACTGTTCCAAATCCTATTGCTCTAGTAGTAACACATAAAGTAATGGCCTTCATTGTATTAACGGCTTCCAATCTGTCGGCTGCTGTTTCTCCGTCTTTAACTCCTGCGAATAGTTTCTTTCGTAATTCTTCTGACAAGTCATGTTCAGTAAAGAATATATTGACCTTTTTCGAAGTACAGATCAATGCCAAAAATTTGTATGTTACTCTTTCTTCCAGGTCTTCGTGTCTTTGTTTTTTCCACTCACAGACTACGAGTACTACCAGAAGCAACAACATTTCAAACAGCAGGTACGTTGATCTGGTTAGATTTCACTGATTCTCACTGTGACATATGCAAACAATAACTTTGAAACTATGGTTCACTCAATAAGAACTATTCTTGTTCCTAAGTAGGTGATGACCCAAAGATCTAAAGAACCGACAGTAGCTAGCCATAAAAATGTTGCCTTTATTTCCATTAATATACAGTATGTTTCAATGACAGCCTGAACTTTCCTGTTCCACGCCGAAAACACGTGAAGCCACCATTACAGTTTCAAGATGGCACCGCACAGAACCGTCAAAGTCCAAAGCAATTATTTCGTCCTAAAGCGCAAAACGACTTTGAGTATACGAAAACCCACCTACAACTTTTATCGCAACACACCAGTTAACTGTCATGCAGCGGTCGACTAACAGTGCTGCATTTTCATTGTTCATAGAACCGAAATATGAGAAATAGTACTTTGATGGCAACAGTTTGGTCTTCGAATGGCGAAGCAAAGCGTTTTCGCATTTAGGATCGAGTAACAAACCATGACATTCCACTAGTCGGTTTGGAGAACTTTTGGAGCACCCTCTGTTATCGCAGATTAAAAAGAATAACCTCGACTGACCTGTAACCAGTCCATCTTTTTCTATCGACCACACCGCCCCATATTCCTTTGTTGAGCGTGTGGCTGTGCGGGTGCAGGTGTAATACATTTTCCCTGGAGTACCGTACCGATATAATCTCCTTGTTAGATATACTCGTGCGCTCACTCATATCCGGATACATTTTGCTGCAATGCATGGTGAATGAGCGCCACAAAGCACACCTAGCGGCGGCCAAACGAACAAAGCTTGGTGCCCGCCTCGATAGAGCCATTCTCTGAAAACACCTCGTATCGTGGCAGAACAGTATTAGTTGCATGATTTGATCAGTGTGTACTATAGCTTGGTGCATTCCCTTATGATGTATGATATTAACACTTAGACAGGATGCTCCTATTCTAGATATGGATATTACGGGATATTCATAGAACATGATTGTCTGGCCAAATGAAACCACCTATTTCTTATATACATATAACTCCTAAGAGAGCAGCAATCTACCCGTATGGGCAATAGGCATGTTTTTCGGGCTAATCTCAAGTGAAACGGCACACTTAAGATTATGGTGGTTCTAGTTCAGAAAGCAGAGAAAATTCGACATACAGGGTGTTCATTTGAAAACTGCCCGCCACGGATTTATTGAAAACACACACCTAGAAGTATGTCAAGTAAAATTTCAGAAGCAAACCATGAGTAAAAGGGTGAAGGTATTTTAATTTTTGTCCTTTAGGCCAAACTTTGTCAAATGCTTGGGAGACATCGAGAAATGCAGCTGTATCTTTTATTATTAAAATCCGCATCAATTTTATTACCTATTCTATGCATGTGCTCAGTAGTACCATGTTTGTCCCGGAGAAAACACATAATATATATTATATATGAGTTACTTTTTCATACGTGTGTGCTTTCAATTGGCCAGACAATTGAGTTCTATCATCATGGAACCTCCTGATAGGATTCAGCTGTTACGTACATCCATTTATACCTTAAAATATGTAAAATTTGTCAAATTATACTCTACTCGTTAATACTGTTGAAGTTGTCGTTTTTTTTCAGAAACAAGTATGTTAATCTCTAAGTGCCAGGAGAATCTAGAATATTCCAAACTCACATCAAATCAGGAACTTCGTTATTGCTACCGGAATGAGTCAATTTCGGTTTTTCAAATCTCTTTACAAACAAACAACTAAGGCACGACACTTGTTTTGAATACTGACGTACATTCATACCTTTTGACGCTGGGTGCTGGGTTATTATAAAGGTTTGTTATTGAGAACGTGTTGAATGTATATTGTTGTTCAAAGGAAAGTCCTAACCACAAGGATATCCTGTACACAAAAGCAATGGAGCAATGTAGATTGTAGACGGTAAGAAAGATATGTGTCAAGGTTTTGTGTTCTGTTATAATTTTTTTGTTTTTAAGTGGTTAGAAGTGCTCAAAAATTTTGGAATTTTCACGCAACGCTGGTAATTAGTACTGTCAACAAGCTTGTGAAGTGAGACAAGGTGCATAGGCGAATATATAAGCAATTTTTCTGCTGCAACAAACATACGTACGAAGAAGGAAGAAAGGTTGGTGATTTTCGGTTAATACATTCCGCAGAAGGTTAAATTCCTAGCAAATGGAAACGCTGATAGTATAAGAGCTGGTATCACAGAGTTCACTGAGCCTTTAGCGATTTTGTTTTCCACCTTTTGTCCTTACACCTGACTAATGTTACTGCATAATTTTCGAAATGACTAGCGGCAAGGATCTAATTAATACCGAGTTGCTCTCTAAATTAGTGGAATTAATAAAAGAAGAGAGCAATAATGTTAAAAGTGAAATCAAACAAGAGATCCCAGAAATAAAACTAGAGAACGCGAAAATATTGAAACTTGTAAAACAGCAACACGAAAAGCTCGAATTACTGGAAAAATCATACCAATAACAGAATTTGCAATTTGGAAAGAGCCGTCCGGAAAAATAATATACTTGTATTTGGACTGGAAGTCGACAGAGAAACTGCTAATCTAGCAGATATAGCAACAGGGAAATTAAACAACCTGTTAGGAATAAACATATCTAACAACGATTTACAAAACCATATACGTTATAAACAAAAAAGACTGTCCTCTTAAGATTGAGTTTATTTCGTACTTTAAAAAGCAACAAGTATTCCAAAACGCACACAAGCTTAAAGGTAGCAGTGTTTTTGTTGTGCAAAGTCTATGCAAAAGAGGACCGTCAGACCAATAAAGTATTCCAGAAACATCGCAAAGCCGCAAAAGCAAAAAACATTCCTGCTAAAATTGTTGGTGATAAACTAATAATAAATGCAGACTCGTACACTGTCGGTGCATTAGAACGTGAAGCTGATATAGAAGAAATGAACGCTCAGGGCATTCCAACCACGCCCTCTGATCTCTCGGAAGATAATGATGAAATTTTCAAAAGTCCAAGCGTTGATGAAATGACTAGCACCATTCCAGTAAACTCTGTTCTTCCTTCAAGACCCAGCCTATCACCTGGAGATAAGGCACCAGTTAAGAAGGCAAAACGAGAAACAAGCAAGCAGATGATAGATCAGCAATCAAGAAAGACAAGACCAAAAAGTCAGTCCAGATGGAATAATTAAAAGAGATATACTAGTGTTAAACAGTGAATAGTATAGAGGCGAACAAATATAAAGAAGCACATTAAAAAACTGAACAACCAAAAATATATGAATATGTGTATTTATGTGTATAGTATTAGATAAAGATATTTGAACTCCTATGATCTGATACCTCTCTACCCCTACTGAGAGGCACCTGTCAGGTGGTATTTATTGCCTGCCGATTTTTATAAATCCTTTTTAACGTTTTTCTTTAATGCTATGCGCAAGCACCAGTTTCTGCGACACTTTTTTGGGCCCCTTCGTTTATTGTATAATATTGTCTTTTATCTACTAGTGCTACACTTTTTTCTATTTTAGCAAAAAACGTTATTATTATTATAATTATTAATAAAATTATAGGCCTCTATCATTTTCAAACAATAACTGCCTTTCAAGGCTCGTTTAAATACAATGCACCTACGTATCACTTTGTCATTTTGCATAAGCTATTGTCTTCTTATCCACAGGGTAATAAATGTAGCAAAAGAAAGATCTGACCTAGTCCGAATGCCTTCAGTTGATTAGGTCTTCTCAAAACCCTGTAACGATGGATATATTACCAGCTGTTTGCTTCGCCTCATATAGAAAATGGAATTTGCTCCCCCTATCCTCAACAAGCCGCACGCTATATTCAGCGTAACAGAAAAAAGGGATGACAAATCACTTCTCTCCGAAACAAAATCGATTTCTCGTAAAAAATCTAATGTTCATTCGGCGGCAGCAGAAAAAACTGGTATTCACTGTTTTTTTTTTCATTTTGGAGGTTGCGACTGTAATATAGATCATGAAAGACTTTATTAGGAATTTCTTCAGTCTAGACGTTATAGGTGAGGAAGGTATTTTCTTTTTATAATGCTTTCATAGCATCGCTTCTTTTTTTTGCTAACGTCAAGAAAGCTTCTGCTTCTGCCCATTTACATTTAATTTGAAACGGTGATAATGCTATCGGCCACGATGTGACGTCATACAAATTGTATACAAAGAAACGTCACTGGTGGACTTACTGTGTCAGTCTTTCTAAAAAAAGACGTAATCAACGTGAAAATATATCGTTTTCTCGTTTTACCAAAAAGACAATCATGGACGATGGGTCCGTGGAAGGAGAAAGGACGAATTTGGCGAAAATTGACACATTGACGGTTGCCTTCAACCTAGATTTCTGCTCTGATAAGCTGAGGAACATCAAGACCTCCATGTGAGTAAAGAACAACTGATACTGATACTCGTGGAAATTAGAAAGAATTAGTAATACACTTACATAATTTCCTTTTTCGGGAGTAATTCAGATCTAAGCTCAAGCCTCATGACTTCTAAATAACTTTATCTAATGTTAGATCAAAGTGTTTTTCATAAAGACAAATTTGAGTTACAGTCGATAAAGGATCAGGATCCTTTTGAGATAGGTGTTGCGTATATTTATTTTCCTAGGCACTCTAATCCATAGATTTTCTGTGGTCTTTATCGATGTGTTTCCACATTCTCGGATGATACAATAACGATAATTAGTATATTTCTCATGTATACCTATTCATGTTTATATGTTGAAAAGTTTGAGAGGTTATGCTGCTGTCAGCTCGTGCGCGTGTCAGAGCACATGGATTCGCCCTGTATAAGGGATAATTGACAATACGTCATATTTTTGCTCGTGAAAGTTTTCAAGTTTTTCAATAGAAAATCTGATTTAAAAATATGGAGATAGACTCTGGAGGTCAAAGTAATGATCCCCCAGCGCACCCGTTGTTGAATGGACCCAGCCAGAGGGAGAGAACAGAAATTACCATGAAATCAAAGGAATTGATGACACCAGCTGTAGCAGACGAAAAGAACAGAACCATCCAGCGCCAGACCCTGATTATCGACAGCCAGGCCCAGCAAATAAAGGAGCTTACTGAGACCATGGAATCAAAGGAATTGATGACACCAGCTGTAACAGACGAAAAGGGCAGAACGATCCAGCGCCAGACCCTGATCATCGAAAGCCAGGCCCAGCAAATAAAGGAGCTGACTGAGACAGTTAGGGACCAAAACACTAAAATAGTGCCTGACCACCCAGGTAACACGGTTAATCAATAATGTACATTTTAATTCTGAATCTGACAAGACTGTCAATTTAAAAAGACCTCTTGAAAATTTAACAGACGTGACATCGACCGACGATGAAATACAGAATGACGGATTCATCCAGGCCAGGTCTAGGAAAAGACGCATCGACAAAACGAACAAAACCGACAAGACGGATGACTTCCCACCTCTTCCAAAAGCAAAATCAAAATTCAAGTTGACAGTCCCCTCAAAACCTTCTGCTTCATTAAGCGTATCAACTTCTTCTGGCACTTGTCCTATGACGGTCGATGCAGCGACCACATCTTCTCAATTTTTGGTCACGGCATCGACTGACGGTGCATTATCTCAACAATCTCACGTTGCTGCTGAGTTGACCAGCACAATACCCTGCCAGGGGCGAATCACGCCCATTGCTTTGCGTGATGCGACCAAGTTGCGACATCTAAACTACACCTTTATAAGCTTAGGCATTAAGACAGTACACGCAGTTGACGTTGATGCGGGAGTCAGGATTTTGCCGAAAACTGAGGATGACTACCGAAGAACCCTTCGCCTGTTCAGGGACGAGGATAAGCCCCATCATACGTTCCCTCTTCCTTCAGAACGAAATTCACGCGGTAGTCAGAGGCATACCTGCAATGTTTTCGGAACAGGAGATCAAGGGGGAATTAGAACAGAGGGAATACACTCCTCTCCACATTATCCGGCTCAAGCGCAGTGGCGGCCCACCCATGCCGTTGGTGGTCGTGATACTTCCCAAGATTGAAAAGTCCCAGCAGCTGTTCAATGAACATTAGCAGCTGGGTCTAGCAATCAGAGTTGAAGTTCAAAAGAACTCTAAGCTTATTGGGCAGTGTCGCAGCTGCCAAAGGTATGGTCATGCGCAATCTTACTGCACAGCACCTCCCAAATGTTTAAAATGTGCTTCCGACTACATTTATGCTCCTTCACAGGACAAGAGGAGCGAAACTGTGTGAACTGTGGAGGGAGCGCGTCCCGCTAACAGTTCCACTTGCAGATTGACCCCCAGGCGAAATCTGGAAGTCATAGCGCAAAGGCGCAGCAAGTCTTACGCGGAAGCAGCCGTCTCAACATCTTCGGCTGCTCCCTCTGTTCAACCCACTTTGAAGATGCAGAATGTGGACCTAGCAACTGCGCTTAGGTCCCTTAAACAAATAATAAGTCCCCTGATTAGCGCCACTCAGGCATTGCAGGCGATCTTTCCGCAGCCACTGAATGGCTAAGTACAACAGACAACCTGCATTTATCAAAATTCTTTTTTTTGGAATTGTCTGTGCCTAAGGATATTCCCAAAAAACGGGAATTTCAGCAAACTCTATCAAACATTACTTAATCCGGGAGATTGCTTAGCTTTCTCGAATTATGACGTTACACTAGCTGACAGATTGAATAGTAGGGGTGGTGGCTTGGCAGTGCTCGTTAAACGTGGTATCGACTATCACAGAGGCACAAACGCCGAGATGCAAAACATTGAAGCGACGTCCGTGGTAGTCAATATGGCGGGATGCATTCCGCTGAAGATCACCTCGGTGTATGTCAGGTGCGGTGCCAGGCTGCGAGAGGAGGACTTGGAAGTCCTTCTGGACTGTTCGGGCCCTCTTATAACGGCAGGGGACTACAACTGCAAATACCGATCATGGCACTCAAGGCTTAACTCTACTTGTGGAGTTCGGATTTGCAACCATGTGATGCGAAATGGGTATCTTATTCACAGCACCGAAGAGCCGACGCACCATCCTTTCAATCACCTTCAGGCACCGGATGTTAAAGACTTTGCAATATCTAAAAACTGTAGGTTCAGTATTGCTTCTAGGATCTTGTATGACATCTCTAGTGAGCATCTACCTGTTGTTCTGAAGGTAGGCAATGGTCATTTCGTGGACGAGGAAACTCCTCCAAGGAAAAGAGTTGATTGGGAACTATACAAGTCATTTCTCAAACAGTTTCCCAGCGTCCCGGTCATACATGATGAGAACGGAATTGATGCTGCTCAATCGGAGTGGACAAGTTTCGTTCACCAAACTCTACAACGTGCTTCCGGTGCAGCGACACGGCAGACCTTTTCTCCCTGCTGACATTCATCGAGAAATTTCTGAAAAGAGGGCTGCGATTAAGCAAGCAAAAAGGTCTTGTCATTCTGATGACATTCGTAGAGCGACCATGAATTCCGCAATGAGCAGTGGAGCGACTTTCTGGCGCGGATGCTTGAATCAAGTATTCCTCTCTGGAAAGTGGCAAAATCGCTCAGAAACGGAAGGTAAGAACAACTACCACATCTTCATGGTTCTGGAGGCATAGTTTTCAGGACTAAGGATAAAGTGGAGATTTTTGCTGACGTCATGGAAAGACAGTTCTCTCCCAATTATGATCTGGACAATGACCTTGACGAGGAACGATAAATTGTAAGATCTGCCAGGAGATACTTCAGAGCGAATGGCGATACCAACATCGGTGCTAGCATCGGTGACTCCTTTTCAGAAGAGATGAATCTCAGCATAGCACATCAACGGAATCCTCTGAGATTCCGTTTTGCACACCAGCAGAGCTCCAAGGCCACGTTAAGGACCTAAAGGCGCGTAAAGCACCTGGATAGGATCAAATCACCAACAAAGCACTGAAGTTGTTTTCACTCAAGGCTTTGACTTATCTGGTGTCAATAATCAATGCAATGCTCAGAACTAATTACTTTCCTAAGGCGTGGAAGGTCGCTGAAGTCATCATGACGCCCAAAGAAAGCAGGTTCGATATTCTTCCAGGATTACCATCGCATTAGTCTGCTGTCAGCTCCTTCTAAGCTCGCGGAAAAGGTGATTTATCGTCACCTTGAGAATTTCTCGTCAGATCACTATGTGATTCCTGACATGCAATTCGGCTTTTGGTCTGAGCATGGTACGGAGCTACAGGCAGTTAGACTGGTAGAGCATGAACCAGGGGGTTCACCCTGAACAAAAGTAAGTAGTGGTATCTTGCTTTCAGATGTATCAAAGGCATTTGACAATGTGTGGCACATGGGCCTCTTGTATAAGCTCATCCAAAAGGGTTTTCCATTTTGGCTACCAAAACTGTTGAAATCTTTTCTACAAGGAAGGAAGTTTCGGATCAAAATTAACAATGTGTTTTCAACAACACGGCCCGTAAGAGCCGGTGTTCCTCAGGGTTCGATCTTAGGACCAATCCTTTATTCACTTTATATACATGACGTCCCTTGCTCCAGCAACTATGAAGTCTATTTTTATGCCGACGACACTACATTGCTAGCCCAGTCTTGTTCTGGTAACCTGATTCACGAGAGACTGCTAGTCCCTACGCACAATTACTAACGCCCCTTGGTACCTGTCAAATGAGACTATTCACTGAGACCTTGATTTCCCATATCTAAGGTATTACGTAAAACAACAGGCGCAGCGGCATTATAATCAAGCGGTATCGCACAGCAACCCTCTGTTGCGTGATTCAGTAGACTACACAGTCGAGCAAGTTCGCAAACATTCCAGGCCGCGCCTCGCACTATGATCAAAATTAAATTGTAAATTCAGACCAGCCAAAATTATTTCAGTATACGAAACCGATCAAAACCATTTTTTCGAGTTTCAAAATAATTCGAGTAGTCAAAGCAATAAGCTTAAGCTATTTCAAATGATTTACTTATGTTCTTTGCTCTATTTCTTTCTTCCTTTCTTTCCTTCTTTCCCTTTTCCTCTTAAACATGTTTGGTATCTGGGTAGCCAGGCCTGACAGACTAACAGACCAACGAGACTTTAAGAGCAAAGATCCACCGGAGCGCTCTGACGAATAATGACGAATAGTAGTCAGAGCACATTCTTATATGGGTCAAACATGTTGACAGCGCTTTCGCCTAAGAAAAATATACTTAAATCAAAGGTATACGGTTATTCATGTATCAAACATATGGTATTCATTATTTTGGTCTAATAGAATAGATATTAATTATTCAAGACCTGCTTAAAAAATTCTTAACTAGCTCATCGCTACCGCTTTCACCTTGCAGTATATAACATTATTTATATATAAATTGCCTGGACTAAATATGGGTTACAAAAAGACGCCCGCGTAAATTGCTATAAAGACACCGCTTTGTAGATATGCGGGAGTGTTACAAGTATATCTCTTATTCAGCAATTTACTCAACATTAATCTTAGTCTTTAGAGGCAAACAGCTTGATATACACGCAGTTGTTTACAGCTTCGAAAGTTTCATTATATTGTAAACACTGTGCTTCCATTGGGAGGCGATGTCGATTTTACGCGAAAAGTTGGTGAGTGTTAAGGGATGCAAGAGCTGGTTTGGCTTGGCGCTGGTAAAGTGTAGCGAGATAGTTAGTTTGTTGGCATACAACAAAAGGATAGTCGATAGGAAGCTTGGTATTGGTTGCAATTGTTGAGATGGAATACCGTGACTAAGTCTGAAACTATCCGAAGTTCACGTCGACTGGAAAACACCGCACTTTTATCAGTTTTTACGAGCTTTTATTTACCGTGACTTGATTGTTAGTATGTTAATATGTAAAGGGTATGGCAATAAAGCCCCCGGATTTGATTTTTAAGAAAAACACAATCTCTTTTGGAATATAAGCGGGTATTTATATTTCAACATGAAGAGGAATAGTTGCGATTAAACCTGAAATAGGACATCCGGTAAATGGCCACCACAAAACCTCTGGCACAGGGTCAGTCTTTTCATGAAATTCTGGGTAACGTTTGTGGCTTTTTCGCATACACCTTACTATCAGAGAAACATAACGAACAACGTGGTGTCAGTCTAAGTCCATTCTGGTGACCACAACTACAAAATGGCGATTTATAATTTCCATGTACTATGGGTATCAAATGAAAGTTCTTGAAAGGGGAAACGTAATAAGCAAAGTGACATTATTCTAAATCCAATACGGCTGCACTGCTAGGTGGCGATTTATGATTTCCATGGTGAGTGCTATAATACGAGTATCAGTATCAAATGGATAATGAGAGAAACACAATTAGCAGATAATTCCATATGGAGATCGCCGCAAAATAT